ACACACACACACACACACACACATTGTCCCAAGAAATGTAAAACAAGACACTGAAACACGATCGTCCGAAAAATGTCTCGATAAGAACTTTTCGCTGATTATTAATCCACAACGAGAGAGAGAGAGAGAGAGAGAGAGTGGGAGAGAAATTTCATCCTAAATATAGTCCGACGGCACGGAGCTCTCGTTTATCGCTGCCAATCGATATTGAGGCGTCTCCAAGCCCTGCGGGTTTAGATGGAGGTTCGTGTTGCTCCCAGAAGACGCCGCCGCGGGCATCTGTTGATTCGCCGAATTCGAGCTCAGGTCGCTGTAGTAAGCGCTACTTGGCGCGCTGCTCAATGTTGGCCCGTCTGGTTCGGCGTCGCTTCCGGTGTACGCCGTGTTCTGGTACGACGGATGATCACCGTTCCTACTGCCGATCCGTAGGTCCTGGTGATGATGGTGATGATTGTGGTGGTGATGATGGTGATGATGATGTTGCATCTGACCTGGAGGGACCGGTGTCGACGGCCCGTTCTCGTACATCTCATAATCCGGTTCTTGTAACCTGGAAAGATCATATTACGTCGACTGGTAAACATTGAGAAGTTGATCAATTAACCTGTTAAACGTGTCCGAACGTATATAACGTATTGACGTATCATTAGAGGCGGGATCATCGTAATTCTAGACTGACAAAGTCGGCCAGGTGGTATTAATAAAATGAAATTTATTCGATGCTTGCCCGTGTACGGTGTACGCATGCGCGTGTCCGTTAAGCGAGTAAACGCTTCGTATCTGTTTTCCAAATAACGAATATGCGATTAAGCGAATATTACCGGCAACAACGTTACGGAGGTCAGCGTCGAACGTTCCGTTTCCTTTCCAATATTTATATTTGATTGAGCAACGGAGATGCATATTAATAGGATAATTATGCATGCTAACGGTACAGGTCTAGTCAGGTGTATTTCCCGTAATACATGCAGATTGCATGTCATCGTCAGTGTCCCAAGCGTCGCCGACGCTTGTCCTTCGAGACTCGAGATGCTGTGTGAAACTGATCGCGCAGATTCTCAGGTTCGCGATATTCGCAGAAAAGCTTTGGACTCGATACAATCGTGGAAAAAAAAGAAAAAAAAAACAAAAAACTAGACATTTAACGGTGCACGATAAAACATAATCGCGGTAGTTAAATCGTAAATTCTAGAAGTATTCCAGAGATGGAGAGGTAACTATTCCAAGAAATTATGGACGGTAATGGAACAAGCTCGACCATGGTACGTCGATTGGTGTAATATCGACGCGCAATCAATTACCGACAGTAAGCTGCTTTAATGTGCAAAAACAATTAAAGGAAAGGCATGCTGGCTATATACAGCTATGCATATTGGAATTATCAAAGCTTGCAGCTTTAAAGATTCATGAGGGTGTGTTCCGGCGCGATGGTTGCCGGATAGAAAACGACTAGGACGACCACCATAACCGCTCCGCGAGAGGAGCAACTCGGCGAAAAATTTTAATCGCAGGGATTAATTTACCTTTTACTGTGACGCGTACGAAGCGTGTCCCTCTGCAAGGATCCGTCGCCGCTGCTACCGCCGTAATGACGATGTAACCTCGCGGCGTCTAGCTCGTGGTATTCGTCATCCTGTCCGCCGGAAGTTGTACCGTACGTCGAGCTTCCTCTCATTTGTAGCTGGAGATCGCTCGCGTAGCTCGCGGCCTGAGAGTCCAGTTCTGCGTACAGGGCTTCGTCCGTTTGCATGTGGGTGTAGTGGTTCTCCACCGGGAGATTCATTGCTCGTCTGTGTTGCGGAAGCGACAGAGGCGTCGTGACGACTCCCGGTGTACCGCCGCCGCGTCGCGAGCCTAACCACGACCACACATTGTGCCCTTGAATCACATCACACCAGCCCATACAAGTCGCGTACATTCGCTTTCGCTTGCTTTCGCGTCAACTATCGAGTACCAATATTCCAACCATTATTACCTATCTACAGACTAGAGTAGTCGTATATATTGCCACGGAAAATCATTTCGATACAATGAGGGAAGAATGAGATAATACTACTTGGACTCAGCAAAATTGAAATTTATTTACAATTCGAGAGAGTTGCGAGAGATATTAATAGTTTATAACTTGACTCGAGTAGTCCTTGAAGAGTTACGGTACAGCGATACGACGACGATCTGTTTGCAACGCGCGATACGTACCAGGACTAGGAGCGACGTCGTGATAAGGCGGTAGCTTATCAAGCTCGAGGGGTGGTCGGTCGGGTATAACGGCCACTCCACTGCCAGCCCCGCCTCCGCTACCTGGGCCACCGGTCTCCTGGACGTTCGAATCCTCGACGCCGACGCTGCAGCAACTCGCTAAAATAGAAACAAACAAACAAAAAAAAAAAAAAAAGAGTGAGCATTCGATCCCTTGGAAAATTCGTTCGGCAAGGATCGTGAGCGAAAGTCGCTCTCGAGTTTCAATGAAACAGGGACGAAACCCGGTGGAACTGGAATCGAGGCGAAGCTCGTGAAGTGCCAGGTGAGCTCCGACAGAATCCTGTTACGTTGCACGGTTATACACACGTATGTATATATATATATATATATACGTACAGGGACAGGATCACGTGCGTAGATATGTTACACGTACGTATGTGTACACGGACCCGAATCACCGCATTATGACATGAGCTCGCGTACGGGGAGAGGAGAGGGAAAAAAGCGGCTGTTTTCTGTATGGCCTCATTGTGTGCCCGTCATCGTGCTGTCACGGCGCTCATAGAAACGCGGCAGGGTTTGGGGTGGATGGTGAGAGAGTAGGGGCGGGTGGAGGAACCAAGAAGTAGAGGATAAGAAAGACGAGGACGAAGACGACGGGGAAAGAAAGAGAAAGGAAGAGAGAAAGAAAAGGGAATTTGGAATTCATAGATCAGAGATGCCGCCTGGTGGTAAGTGAGCATGAGAATGCTACGGAGAAAAAACGAGATTATGAGAATCTTGTGTCTTAGTCTCTCTCTCTCTCTTTCTTCTCGTGGTTCATAATCTACGCATGTAAGTACGAGACACGTCGGTTGTCGTCGTCGTCGTCGTCGTTGCTGTCTTCCGCTGGCCGGTGGATGTTTTCGCCGCTCGAAACCGTGGAGTCTCGGAGCGGAGTCGCGCGTCGCAACGCGCCTTGGCGGCTGTCACTTGCCAGGAGATACAGAGACTGGTTCTCGTTTATCGCACGGTACACCCTTACACCAGCGGCACGCACGAGTGTGTTGCTCGTGCAACCACGGTATAATCTTCTTCTCTGCGTGGCTCACCTAGACGCTGTTTTCTCCTTCTTCCGAGAAGCTGCAGGCTCGCCTGTAGGATAATCACCGATACGCTTTAACGTTTCAGAATGAAAAGCAGGGTGACGTACCCGAGGTGAAATTTAATTCCTCGTTTCTTTATCCGCGACTTATCCGGAGTCTACGGATATTTATAACGAGCCGTTACACCGTAATTTGCATAATTAGCGTCTATGCCTGGCTACGAGATTACTCGGTAATGGGAGACCGCGAGTCCTCGCGCGCGCAAAACTCCGCGCGACGTATCGGCCGACGCATTTTAACGAGCGAGTCGGTCCGTCGGTAACATTTCAACATTTTCATCCGACTAACGGGCACCGGCTTCGGCTTGACAAGCCGAGAGAGGTTATTTGTCTTCCATTATGTAAGGAAAATTGTTGGCCGTTGATTTGCGCGCGGAGACACGCGAACTTGCTCGATCGGGACCAATTACCAGCCAGCCACCTTTCGAACGTTTTAAAGATTTCAATTGCCGCGAACGCGCCATTCCCCTCGACCTTAATCAACCTTCCATTCATTACGAGGCAATCTCGGTGCTTGGCTCTCCATCACTCGCGAGGATAGGCGAGCGCGCGCGACTGCCTAGAAATCCAAGTGCAATCGATTACATCGGCGAGCGTGCGGTAATCGCGTTATTTATCGTCTCATGCCAGTCTCTGGCATTCGTTCAACGCACGCACCAAGCAACAACGGCAATTTAGCATACCGCGGCATTCGCTAAGCCATTTATTGCTATCGTAAATAAGGTGGTGTCGATTTATCGGATTTGCCACTTGAATAACACGGCCGGCGGAGATCGGTCCTTCCGCCGGTTTATAATTGAACGTCGAACTGTCACAAAGATCGCTGCGTCCCCTTTCTCGCGTCCAACGACCGTGCCGCGTCCGAGAATGAGAAACCTTGCACGAGACGCGTACACGAGGTTTTACCGGCTGATTACGCCATACTTCCCACCTATTCGACGAGGTGAGGTAACTGGATCCGTCTCTCTTCCAAGCTGTCGCTTCGCGTCACATTCCCGTGGACGCGTTAACCCGCGTGGTTTACTGGATTAGATGGTTCGAATATTAATTGGCCGACGGATGCATTAGCCCAGCGACCGAGAGCGTGAAAATCGTGCCGTGCCATGACAGCGGGGGGCAAATGTTCTCTTCACGATCTACTAGATTCGAACGGTTAGATTCTATTTCCTGGCAGCCGTGCGTGTTCGTTAGGAATCTGTTTGACGTTCCTTCGTCGGTCCTGGTTCCTCCTCGCGCTTCATCATGTCAGAAGGATCTTCACTGATGCGGGAAAAAGTATACCATTTCTATGGTCTGACCTTTTCCGGAATTTCTCCAACGACAAAGTCACTTTCGCATCTTGTAAATCTCTCTTCATCTACTTTACATGTTTTCGGGATGTAGAAATCCGTCCGTGTGCACGAGCACGAGTCCGCGGAGAAAACTGTCCGACACGAGTGACGCGAAATTAATCCTTTCTTTTCTTTTCTTTTCTCGTGTACAAGAAATGGTGAAGAATATCGATTGAACGAATAACACGCCTTGCCGTTGATTTTCCCAAGAGGAGGAGGTGGGGGGACAGCAGCCGATTCGGCGTATCGAGCGAAGGGACGCGCGAGATAAGCCGATTAACGCATTCGACTCGCCTATTCTATCCCGCGGGCCCTCGAATCGCCATTGTGTCGCGTTGATCGCGCGGGAACCTAACGTGTACCGACTCTCGTCTTTTTTTGCGCAACAGCCCCTTTCAGCCGTCCATTAACGCCTCTCTTGTCCGTTGGCATTCGCCGCGATTCTTACGCACGGTTGTGCGCTTCAACGATGTTTCATTAATTCGTCCACTTTTTCCTTTTTCTCTCCTCCTATGAAATTACCCGCCGCACCGCGCAACATCGCTGCCCGCACGCCTGGTTGGTTATTCAACCAACTTACAATTAGTCACCTTTAATCCAACCCTCTCTTGGTAGAAATTCCAATTACATCCACATCCGAGCACAGCTATAATTTCATCGCTGACAAGTTTACATAGGCCGGTGGGATGAATATACTCGCGGTAAACAGATTCGCGACGTGGTTTTAACGTAATTAATAGAAACGCAGGTAAAGTAAAAGAAAAACGGTTCGAAGACTAGGACCACCTCGCTGCGTGTAAAAACACGTGAGTCCGCGTACGTAACGTTTTATCTCGTAATTTACAGCTTCCTTAAGCACGAATTTACGAGATCGTAATGGAATGGGGGGGGGAGGGAAGTTCTAAATACTTTACGAGCGCTCCTCGATGTACCTCGTCATTCGAAGTTTTTGCGCGTGGCGAAGCTGTTTTCTCTCTTTACATTCCATTGTCAGTATCCCGTCTTATTATTGCGCTCGGTGGAGGAGACTACTGCATCTTTTAAAACACTATTCGCGTTTAATTAGCCGAGGTCAAACCCTTCGATTAATTACTCGTCTAAATGTTAATCGCACGCGATACAGTGGATTTCAGTGCCGGGTCGGAAATCATTATCTCGGCTGGGAGAGGTTAATCAATTTCCTCCCCCTCCCCCTCCCTCCTCCCCCCGGTAGGTAAACGCGTTTGGCGCCACTGACAGACACTGTGCAGGCACTGGCCCTGAGTGATTACGACGTACCGGTGTGAAGAGCAGTTAAGAAGCAAATCGTGGATCGGTGGAGAAAGACGACTCGGAGCAGTCCAAGGAGGTTCGGTAAAACGAGTGTCGGATAATTAATTCGGGTGACCCTTGTATCCCTCGGTCGGTAGTAACTTGCCCTTTCTCCTTCTATTTGCCCCGGTTCCCGTACCCGTTCATTCTCGCCAGAGCTTCTTCGTCGACTCGCTGGGCCCGGTTCGTCCGTTGATCGTATCGTACCGCGGGTGATTTTAAATCAGAAAGTTAATTAGACGCGTTTCACTGTCCTTTATGTCGCCCGTCCGTCGCGTCGCTGAGCCAGGCCATCTTTTACGTGCGGGCAACAGCAGCAACAGCAGCTGCTGCATCGCAGCCTGAATATACGTTGCGCGATGGCGCTGCGCCGAGCAGTGAATCGGCCTTCATTATGCGAACTAATTAAACTCCAATCGGTTCTGACACTCCACGCCACTGCTCTACTACGTTTCTCGTTTGCACCAATCGACGCCATATGCCTCACGTGACTGTGAGGCCTGCGTGTAGTCACTTCGACGGATCAGAGCATCCGGATTTAAGTACGTGCGTCTGTGTGTGAACCTTGAAACAATCGAATCTCGTTTGACGATTGATTGCTTTAGACGATGGCTCCTTTGTTTTCCCGCGTTCCCGCAAGGTTCTTAGGGAATTTCGTACACCGAGGCAATTTTCG